CCCTGAGTTCACGAGGTCTTGTTGTGCAACACCCACCTGTGAGTGAGAACATATGGTGCTTGGCTTTCTGTTCTTGGGTCGGTTTGCTGAGAATGATGGTTTCCAGATTCATCCAAGTCCCTACAAAGGACACGAACTCATCGTTTTTTATGGCTATGTAGTATTCCATGGTGTATATGTACCACATTTTCTTTGTCCAGTCTATCATTGATGGGCATTTGGGTTGATTCCAGGTCTTTGCTATTGTACACAGGGCTGCAATGAACATACGTGTGCATGTGTCTTTATAGAAGAATGATTTATAGTTCTTTGGGTATATACCCAATAGTGGGATTGCTGGGTCAAATGGAATTTCTATTTCTAGATCTTTGAGAAATCGCCACACTGTCTTCCACAATGGTTGAACTAATTTACACTCCCACCAACTGTGTAAGAGTATTCCTACTTCTCCACATCCTCTCCAGCATCTGTTGTCTCCAGATTTTTTAATGATCGCCATTCTAACTGGTGTGAGATGGTGTCTCTATGTTGTTTTGATTTGCATTTCTCTAATGACCAGTGATGATGAGCATTTTTTCATATGTTTGTTGGCCTCATATATGTCCTCTTTTGAAAAGTGTCTGTTCATATCCTTCGCCCACTTTTGAATGGGTTTTTGTGTGTGTGTGTGTGTGTGTATATCTGTTTGAGTTCTTTGTAGATTCTCGATATTAGCCCTTTGTCAGATGGGTAGAGTCAATTAATTTTTTAAAAGTCACATTCTCACAGGACCTTCAAAGCTGCTAGGCTTAGGTCTGTCCTTGGATGGTCTGGGTCTAAGGCCAGAAAAGCCCCTCTCTACTCCCACCTCCCCATTCCACCATGGGCTGCTGGAAGCTGGGCCCTACTATCTTCCATGCAGGGCCCCTGCCTCTCCATATCACATTGCCATTTGCCAGTGATTCTTCTCAATATCCCCATACAGTATAATGATTTTTCCAAAATACAAAAGCGATTATAGGTAAGCTGGACCGTGTAGATGAGCATAAAGGAAAATAGACCCCCTCCCCAATTCTACCCTCTTGAGAGAACCACTGTTAACATTTCGGTATACTTTTTCCCTCAATCCCTTTTTCTAGGTAAAATTACCACTCAATTCTGGGCTTTCTGCATTTTATTTTTTATTTTTATTTATTTTATTTTTTTTAGATGGAGTCTCACTTTGTTGCCCAGGCTGGAGTGCAGTGGCATGATCTCAGCTCACTGCAACCTCTGTCTCCTGAGTTCAAGCGATTTTCCTGCCTCAGCTTTCAGAGTAGCTGGGACTACAGGCACCTGCCACCATGCATGGCTAATATTTGTAATTTTAGAAGAGATGGAGTTTCACCATATTGGTCAGGCTGGTCTCAAACTCCTGACCTTAAGTGATCCTCCTGCCTTGGCCTCCCAAAGTGCTAGGATTATAGGTGTGAGCCACCACACCCAGCCTGCATTTTATTTTTTAAAGAGTTACCACCCAAGGGCCGGCATGGTGGCTCACACCTGTAATCCCAGCACTTTTGCAGGCTGAGGTGGGTGGATTACCTGAGGTTGGAAGTTGGAGACCAGCCTGGTCAACATGGTGAAACCCCATTTCTATTAAAAATACAAAAATTAGCTTGGTGTGGTGGTGTGTGCCTGTAATCTCAGCCGCTCAGGAGGCTAAGGCAGGAGAATTGGGCAACACAGTGAGACTCCATCTCAAAAAAAAACAAAAGTTACCGTTCAAATTACCATACTTTAGCCAATAGATATACAAGTTATATTTGCATTTACAAAATTGAGATCCTGATGTACTTTCACTTTTAAACTTTGCTCTTATTCACTTATGAAAATGATATTTTGAGCAATTTCTATCTTTAAACATAAAGCTGTATACATATAAACTTAAAATTAAGTTTAATACCATTTAAGATATAATTTTAAATTTAATAGCTACAGGCCAGGCACAGTGGTTCATGCCTGTAATCTCAGCACTTTGGGAGGCTGAGGCGGGTGAATCACCTGAGGTCAGGAGTTCAAGACCAGCCTGGCCAACATGGTGAAACCCTGTCTCTACTAAAAATACAAAAATGAGCCAGGCGCGGTGGCGGATGCCTGTAATCCCAGCTATGCAGGAGAATCGCTTGAACCTGGGAGGCGGAGGTTGCAGTGAGCCGAGATCGCGCCGTTGCACTCCAGCCTGGGAGACAAGAGCGAGACTCCATCTCAAAAATAAATAAATAAATAAACTTAACAGCTGCATTTTCATCATATAGGCACACCATAGTTTATTTAACCATTCTATCATGGACGGTTTTTAGTCAGTTTTCGCAGGGTTAAGCTGTGATAATAAACCATCCCTTGTCCGGGCAGGGTGGCTCACACCTGTAACTCCAGCACTTTTGGAGGCCAAGGTGGGTGGATCACAAGGTCAGGAGTTCGAGACCAGCCTGGCCAATATGGTGAAACCCTATCTCTACTAAAAATACAAAATTAGCTGGGTGTGGGGGCGGGCACCTGTAATCCCAGCTACTTGCCTGAGGCAGGAGAATCGCTTGAACCTGGAGCCGGAGGTTGCAGTGAGCCGAGATTGCACCACTGCACTCCAGCCTGGAAGACAGAGTGAGACTTTGTCTCAAAAAACAAAACAAACAAAGAACAAAAATCCCAACATCTCAGTGGCTCCTAATGATAAAGGCTTATTTCTTGCCTGTTTTTATTTTATTTATTTTTTGGAGACAGAATCTCACTCTGCCACCCAGGCTGGAGTGCAGTGGTGCCATCTCAGCTCACTGGAACTTCAGCCTCCCAGGTTCATGTGATTCTCCTACCTCAGCCTCCTGAGTAGCCGAGATTTTACAGGTGGCTGCCGCCACGCCTGGCTCATTTTTGTATTTTTATTTATTTTTACAGCCCAGAGCTCTTTTATTTTTTTAGCACCTATGATGCCATGAATCCACAGGGAGGAGGTTCCAGCCGCTCAGCCTCCTTCCCATTGGTTCTCACACAGTGCGCTTCTCTCAGTGGCGCAGGCTGGCGCTTCCGTTGAACCCAGGTCCCTTTCTCTTCAGCGTCTTTTTTTCTGATCATTTTCCTTCCCGAGTTTCAGGAAGCTATTGAGGCTCTTAGAGTGCTTAATGTGCTCAAAAGGCACATTCATCCTTTCGGCAAAAATGTCACCCTTAACTTGTGTGTTTATAATGCCAACGGCATGCTGGGTAGCATTGTAGACTCTGCCAGTTTCGCCATGATAACACTTGTGGGGCATTCCTTTTTGAACAGTATCCATCCCCTTGATGTCCACAATATCACCTTTCTTACAGATCCACATATATGTGGTCAAAGAAACAACTATCTTTTCTAAAAGGCCCAGAGAACATATATCGGGAGCCTCTCCTCTTTCACTTTGTGTTTGTCATTTTGGTGAATTACTGGAAGATGGTGGTTCCGGCCAAAAGGACTCATTTTTGTATTTTTAGGAGACATGGGGTTTCACCATATTGGTCATACAGTCTCAAACTCCTGGCCTCAGGTGATCTGCCTGCCCCAGCCTCCCAAAGTGCTAGGATTACAGGCATGAGCCACCATGCCTGGCCTGTTTTTCATTTCTTTTGTAGGCTAGTTGTGGGCTGGGCTTTTCTTGGCTGTGGGTCAGGTGTGGTTGTAATTCTTCCTTATCCTAAAATGCAAGCCAAAGGAACAGCCCCCCACGTGGGATACAGTCTTGTGGCCAAGGTCAAGAGCAAAAGAGCGATGCTCTCAGTTTCTGCTCTGAAGGGGTACTGGTCATGTCCACACACGTGCCCTCGGCAAAGGCCATCATGGGATCACTGGGGCCAGATAATACTACTTCCCCAGAAGGGAGAAGGTGGATTCAGCTTTCAGGAAGTGGGTGTGAATGATCGGGAACAATAACACAATCTTCCACAGATGTTTCCATGTTTAAAGGATCCGGGAAGAGCTGTTGATTTCTCATTTTCAATGTCATTTCAAAGCATATATATACTTTTTTTTTGGATACAGGGTCTCCCTCTGTTGCCAGGCTAGATGGTGTGCAGTGATACAATTTCAGCTCACTGCAACTTCTGCCTCCCAGGCTTAAGTGATCCTCCTGCCTCAACCTCCCAAGCAGCTGGGACTGCAGGCATGCACCACTACGTCAAGCTAATTTTTGTATTTTTTGTAGAGATGGGTTTCACCACGTTGGCCAGGCTGGTCTCAAACTCCTGGGCTCAAGAGATCCTCTTGCCTCAGCCTCTCAAAGTATTGGGATTATAGGTGTGAGCCACTGTGCCCAGCCACGTCTTATATAATTTTATGTATTTATTTATTTAGCTGTGTTTTCTTTTCTTTTCTTTTCTTTTTTTTTTTAAATCACATTTCTTCAGAATTATTTATTTATTTATTTATTTTAGGCTGGAGTGCAATGGCGCGATCTCAGCTCACCGCAGCCTCCACCTCCTGGGTTCAGGCAATTCTCCTGCCTCAGCCTCCTGAGCAGCTGGGATTACAGGCACGTGCCACCATGCCCAGCTGATTTTTTGCATTTTTAGTAGAGACGGGGTTTCACCATGTTGCCCAGGATGGTCTCGATCTCTTGACCTTGTGATCCACCTGCCTCGGCCTCCCAAAGTGCTGAGATTACAGGCTTGAGCCACCGCACCCGGCCCCTTCTTTTCTTTTCTTTTTGAGACGAAGTCTCACTCTGTGGCCCACGCTGGAGTGCAGTGGCACAAGCTTGGCTTAGCACAACCTCCACCTCCCAGGTTCAAGAAATTCTTGAGTCTCAGCCTCCCAAGGAGCAGGGACAGTTTGCCATGGTATCTATGCCACCACACCCAGGTGATTTTTGCATTTTTTTGTAGTGACAGAGTTTTGCCATACTTCCCAGGCTGATTGCCGACTCCTGAGGTCAGGCAATTCACCCACCTTGGCCTCCTAAAGTGCTGAGATTACAGGCTTGAGCCACCTCCCCTGGCCAATACAATTTTTAAACTAACTTTTTTTTTTTTTGAAATCTGCATATCTATTTTATTTCCGTTAGAAAAATATTATCTATATAACATTTTGGTCCACTTTCTTCTCCTTGACCTCAAATATAACACTTTAATTTTACTCAGGAAAAGCAGAATCACATACCTGACATGAGAATTAAATTGTTCACATCATTAGTTTGAATTGGATATGTTCTTGATTATTTCTCAGGAATAATAAGTCTTCTTTCCTGCCTGTTATTTCTCTTTTATTTATTGAGTAACTACGTAATAAGTGTCTCTTTCCTGTATTCAGGAATACAGGTGCACACAGGTGTAATTTAAAACAGTAACTGGATTCTTTAATCTTCAGTTCATGTTCAACTCTCCCTATTATATGGTATTTCCATAATAAGATCAGATATTCATCAAATTCACACTGTCATCAATATTGTGAAAATTAAAATGTTAATTAAGATGTTATATCAATTGTAAAAGTTAAAATGTTAAAAATTCCAGACTACACAGCACTGCGCCCACTTATAGTGATGCTGTTGTCAGAGGTCCTTGGACAGCTACTGCTTCAATTTCAATTCGGGCACCTTTGGGCAAAGCAGCAACTTGGTAAGCAGCTCTAGCAGGAAAATTACTCTTCAAATACTGTTTGTAGATTTCATTGACAGTATTGAAGTCATTTATGTCAGCCAGAAGAACAGCTGTTTTCACCACATGAGTGAAGTCGCAGCTTGCAGCTTTCAGAATTTCACTCATGTTTTTAAGAGCTTGTTTAGCTTCTTCTGCCACCCCTCCTGACACAAGCTGAAGGGTCCATGCCTATCCGTCCTGAAATGTAAACGGTCCTGTCGGCTAACACAACTTGGCTGCAGGGTCCGGTGGCACCTGGGGCTTTCGCGGTGCTGATCACCCTTCCGATCAAGGACGACTTGGCTAAGACTTTCCTCCTGCGGCCCTTTCTTCTTCAGGAGAAGAAGCCCCCGAACTACCCCTTCTTGCTTCTCACTGGACTGACCAACCCTTGCAGCGTCTATGCCGCAAGGCGCCCGCAGGGACCTAAACTAACTTTTATTTTTTATCGCAGTTGTGCAGGTAATGTTTTTTAAAGCCAAATAATTCTATAAGGCTTATTTTAAAAAAGCAGCTTCCTCCACCTAAATTACCACACCTCAACCAATTGATAAGAACTGTTTTTCAGTCTTACTGGGTGCCGGGAATTGCGCTAAATAATTTTCCCAAGTTACATCATTTCATCTTTACACCTAGCACAGGAGGTAAATACGTTCTCTCCCAGCTTGTTACGAAATTTGGCTGAAGAAGCGACTTCTTACCACTAGGGGGCAGACCTGGGCCGGAAACCCAGGTTACCTGACTCCAGAGGCAGGCAGAAAAACTTGAGCCTCAGCGGTTCTCAAAGCATGGTCCCCACGCAGCAGGATGGCGTCGCTGGGGACTTGCTAGGCAGGCATGCTGTCGGCCTGCCCGCCACCTGGCCGACTTGGGACCTCGGGCTGGGCCCAGCCGTCTGAGTTGCAATCAGCAGTGAGGAGACACAGAGACCCCACCGATTGACCACTGGGCTCTCTCCTCGACAGCCGGCTCCCCTTCCTGCCCAGGGCCCCTTCCATTTCCCCCTTCCCCTGACTTCAGTGACAGCCCCATCTGCCTGCTGGACGCAGATGAGAGCCACTGGAGATGCTGCCCTGCCCCTCCCAGCTTCAGGGACCACCCAACTGCCCCCAGCGCCAGTCAGCAGCATGGCCTCAGGGTGCCCGGGTGAGGGCCGAAGCCCCTCCCTCACAGTGGGTGGAGGTCTCTGGTCCGCAGTCCAGTCGGGGCTCTTGTGAGTACTGAAGAATCTGGAGTTGGGAGGAGGCGGAATGTGAGGGGAAGGCCTCATGTCAGAGGGGTGTTTCTGGACTAGAATGGGGCGGGTGAGAGAGTTAGGAAACGGGGTCCCAGGTCAGGGGAGGAAGGAGCACCCAGGGTCCGGTGGGAAACCCCCAGGACTGTCCTCCTGAGGGGTTTTTCTGAGCAGACTGCGTGTGCCCCAGTCCAGTGTCTTGGAAACAGCAGGTGAGGTGTCCCCCCTCCTTCTCCCCTCCTGAAGCTGGGGGGCCCCTCTGCCCTGGGTTGCTTGCTCTGGACTTTGAAGTTGGCTGGGCCCAGTTGGATCTGTGTTCCCGGAGACCATGAAGGACCTGCCCTGCTGGGTGGCCTAAGACCCATTAACATACAGGCCCAGGGCCTGCGGAATCCACCCAGCCACTGGGTTTGGAGCTGGGCCCCTCAGGGGCTCGCCGAGGAGGGGCAAAACCAGGACACCAGAGCCGGGCTGATGGTTGAATTCATCTGGTCTAGATGTCAGCTGTTTCAGATGGAGTCATTTCATTTGGTAACTCTGCCATTTCATTTGGCTCTCTTGTGGGAGTTCATTTAAAACATCACTTACAGCTGGTTGCAGTGACGCACGCCCGTAATCCCAGCACTTTGGGAGGCCGAGGCGGGTAGATCCCTTGAGGTCAGGAGTTCGAGACCAGCCTGGCCAATATGGTGAAACCCTCTCTCTACTAAAAATACAAAAATTCGCCAGGCATGGTGGCAGGCACCTGTAATCCCAGCTACTCGGGAGGCTGAGACAGGAGAATTGCTTGAACCTGGGAGGCAGAGATTGCTTTGAGCCAAGATCACGTCACTGCAGTCCAGCCTGGAAGACAGAGTGAGACTCCATCTCAGAAAAAACAAAAACAGAAACGAAAAACAACGTACTTTCCAGCCAGACTTCTGGCCCTTTGCCTTCCATGACCCCCTGGCCTGACCAGGCAGTGCCCCTGCGGCTTCCACCTCCACCCCATGTCCACCTCCAGCTAAGCTGCAGGGGCGGCCACAGATCCAGGGTGAGGAGGCTGCTCCTCTCTCCCGGCTTTGAGAAGATGAACGTGCAGCTGCAAGGTTGGGGACAGGGCCTGCTGTCCTGGCAGGTCTCTCCAGCCCTAGCCCAGGCCCAAGGTTGCCTGGTGTCTTCTCAGGAACCAGCTGGCAGGGCACTTGTATTTTCCAGCTGGGAAACAAGTGGAATAAATACCAAGCCTATGAATGTTAGGAATTTCCAAATTAAGTTCATTACCGAGCTTTAGAGGGTTTACTTTGGGCCCCCAATTCCCGCTCTGATGGGTTGAATTGCAGTCCTTGAGGGCTCTTTCCCGCCAGGTCATTCCAGTGCCAAGGCCATGGTAGGCAGGCAGCAGGTCCCCAGTCAATAACCCACACCACGGCTGCAAGACTCCTTTTGGCTTTTTTTTTTTTGAGGCAGAGTTTCATGACGCAATCTCGGTTCACTGCAACCTCTGCCTGCCTCCCAGGTTCAAGCAATTCTCCTCCCTCAGCCTCCCGAGTAGCTGGGATTACAGGCGCCTGCCACCGTGCCTGGCTAATTTTTGTATTTTTAGTAGAGATAGGGTTTCACCATGTTGGCCAGGCTGGTCGTGAACTCCTGACCTCAAGTGATCCACCCTATCTGCCGGCCTTGGCTTCTCAAAGTGCTGGGATTACAGGTGTGAGCCACCGTGCCTGGCCTTTTTTTTTTTTTTTTTTTTTTTTCCCACTTTGAGACAGTGTCTCACTCTGTTTATACAGGCTGGCAGGCTGGAGGCAGTGCTGGATCTCTGCTCACTGCAGCCTCCACCTCCCAGGCGCAAGCAATCCTCCCACCTTAGCCTCCCAAGTAGCCGGGGCTATAAGGGCACACCACCATGCCCAGCAAATTTTTTTTTTTTTGTAGGTTTTGCTGTGTTGCCCAGGCTGGTCTTGAACTCCTGACCTCAAGTGATCTGTCCACCTCAGCCTCCCAAAGTGTTGGAATCACAGGCGTGAGCCACTGCACCTGGCCTCTCTTTGTCTTTCTGCCAGATTCTTTTTTTTTTTTTTTTTTGAGACAGAGTCTTGCTCTGTCACCAGGCTGGAGTGCAGTGGCACCATCTCAGCTCACTGCAACCTCTGCCTCCCGGTTTCAAGTGATTCTCCTGCCTCAGCCTCCCGAGTACCTGGGACTACAGGTGCGCATCACCACGCCTGGCTAATATTTGTATTTTTAGTAGAGATGGGGTTTCACTATGTTGGTCAGGCTGGTCTTGAACCCCTGACCTCAGATGATCTGCCTGCCTCAGCCTCCCAAAGTGCTGGGGTTACAGGCATGAGCCACTGTGCCTGGCTCTGCCAGATTCTTGGAAGCCAGCTGCCCCCCACAGCTTGGGGCTGCCCTTGGGCTTCAGGGCTCCTGTGACACTGCCCTGGGTCCTCTTCCTGGATGTCTCAGGCCAACGGCATCCCTCTCTTGGTCTCGATTCATGTCCAGGAGCAGGACCCAGCTCTCCCTCCCCGGCCCCAGCCCATCTTTCCCTCCTGTCTTCTAATTGGGGGAGAGGGACCTTGTCCCCTGCCTCCAGTCAGACACTTCCCTTCTTCCCTTGTACTTGCTTGGTAAACCCTCCAAGTTCTCCTGAGACCTTCAGCTTTAAGAAAACAAAAGCCAGAAGGACCATCAGGGAGGAAAAGGCCCTATGGAGCGGGTGGCGTGGGAGGGCAGAGGTGGAGACAGCTGGGAGATTGAATCGACAGGACCTGCTGCTGTGGAGGAGAGGAAGACGTCAAAGCAGAGCCAGGGAGGCTGGGAGGTCTGAGCTGGAGATGAAGAAGCTGTCCCCTTCATGGGGAAAGCCAAAGCCGTGGCCTCGCCCATGGGCGTGTCCAGAGGACCATGGAAAGGACAGGAGTGGAAAGAACCAGGGTCAGGGGGAGAGCTGAGCCTGGATGCTGGCCCGGAGGGAGGGTGGGGGCAGCCTTGGTAAGGACCACCCTGGGAGTGGGAGGGCAGAGGGCCAGGCCTCAGCGTGGAGACCGCTTTATTTAGGGGATCGAGGCAGAGGAGCGGGAGAAGGGGCTGGGAAGGCTTACAAATAGTTGATGGGGACCAGCCTGGCTTATAGCCTCACGGGGGCAGTAGGTGGGAAAAGAAGCCGAGGTGTTAGTGCGTCTCCAGTGAGCCCTGCGCGCAGTCGATGCTGGGCATGGTGTGTGGCTCCGTATGAGGGCTGAGTATGTGCTGGCTGAGTATGCAGAGGAAGGAAGGAAGTGTGTGAGTCTGCTCAGGCTGCTGTCACAAAGTGCCTTAGATTAGGGGGCTCAAACTATAGCAATGAATTTTCTCACAGTTCTGGGGGCTTGAAGTCCAAGATCAAGGTGTTGGCAGGATTGGCTTCTTTGGAAGGCTCTCCTTGGCTTCCAGATGGCCGCCTTTTCTGCTTCTTCACATAGACTTCCCTCTGTGAGTGTCTGTATACTGATCTTTGCTTCTTTTTTTTTTTTTTTTTGATGGAGTCTTGCTCTTGTTGCCCAGGCTGGAGTGCAATGGCACGATCTTGGCTCACTGCAACCTCTGCCTCTCGGGTTCAAGCGATTCTCCTGCCTCAGCCTCCCAAGTAGCTGGGACTACAGGCGTGTGCCACCATGCCCCACTAATTTTTGTATTTTTAGTAGAGATGAGGTTTCACCATGTTGGCTAGGCTGGTCTCAAACTCCTGACCTCAGATGATCCGCCCACCTCAGCCTCCCAAAGTGCTGGGATTATAGGCATGAGCCACCATGCCTGGCCCTGATCTTATCTTCTTATAAGGACGCCAGTCATATTGGATAGAGCCCGCCTCGAAGGACGTCATTGAACTCTACCTCTTCAAAGAGCCTGTGTCCAAATACAGTGATACTAATTGAGGGTTAGGACTTTAGCTTATGAATTTTGGGAGGACGATTCTGCCCATATCGAGGAGCATCTACATATTGTCAGGGAGACAAAACACACACACTTAAGAAATGGACAAGATAGTGTACAGTTATTTGCTAAACTGTGTGCTATAAACAAATGAGAAAATAAAACGGTATATAAAAAATGACCACATATGGAGACACTGAAGAAAATATAGTTCAAAAATGTTTTGAACACTCAACCAGCTTTACACTAAGAGCAGAAAATCTCCAGGTGCTGGTAATACAAAGGGAACATCAAATGAGAGCGTTAGTGGGAGAAGTTGAAATGGCTCATGGAGTTTTGGAGCCAGATGTTGGCCTTCAGTGCTTTGGGCAGGGCCTTTGAAATTACGAAGGGGACCAAGAAATTAGCATAACTGGCACATCTCAGGAGCTTGAGAGAGGCAAATGTGAAGCCTCTCTGCAGGATTTCTTGTACAACTTGGGAATGAGAGTCTCCCACAGAAAGCATCCCCCACTGAGTTGAGCTCACAAGGGGTCAAAAGTAAGAAAAGCAGCAGTCAGAAGGAAATAGAAAGAATAGCCTCCCAAGGAATAGAATTAATAGAAAAATCTAAAGTGTACTCTAATGCAAAGTTTTTAAAATATTCTCAGAAAAGAAAGAGCTATAAACCATATGGTAAAGACTGAATAAAATGGAAAAAAGAACAGGCAGATTTGAAAAAGAATCTAACAAAAGTTATAGCTATAAAAATACAGTTATGGAACAGGAAAAAACATAATTGGATGAGTTAAACAGCATTTTAGACATAGCCAAAGAAAGAATTAGTGAATTAGAAAACAAAGCTGGGCCAGGTGCAGTGGCTCATGCCTGTAATCCCAGTACTTGGGAAGGCCGAGGTGGGTGGATCACGAGGTCAAGAGATCAAGACCATCCTGGCCAGCATCGTGAAACCCTGTCTCTACTAAAAAATATATAAAAAAAAAATTAGCTGGGCGTGGTGGCACGTGCCTGTAGTCCCAGCTACTCAGGTGGCTGAGGCAGGAGAATTGCTTGAACCTGGGAGGTGGAGGTTGCAGTGAGCCAAGATTGCGCCACTGCCACTGCACTCTAGCCTGGTGCCTGGCGACAGAACAAGACTCTGTCTCAAAAAAAAAAAAAAAAAAGAAAAAAAGAAAACAAAGCTGAAGAAATTTCCCAGAATGCAGCACAATGAGGTAAAGAAATGGAATTGGGAGGAGAGACTGAAATGATGCAGTAGCCATTAAATAAGAGTTTCAGAGGAAGACAATAACAGAATGAGAGAGAGTTCATATTTGAGGAGCTAGAAATGGGCAAATCTGTGCTAACTAATACAAATGTTACATAATTTAAACAAGAAAAGAAAAAGACCAATTTTACTTTAATGCAACCACTTATAATAGAAGACATATAGTGCTTGCCACATGCCAGGCATTGTTTTAAGCACTTTACATATATTAACTTATTTTTTTGAAAGTAATACCTCAGGGCTGGGCATAATAGCTCACACCTGTAATCCCAGGGCTTTGGGAGTCTGTGGAAGGAGGATCACTTGAGGCCAGGAGTTTGAGATCAGCCTGGGAAACATAGTGAGACCCCCTCTCCACAAAACTTTTTTAAAAAAATTAACCAGACATGGTAGTGCCTGCCTGTAGTCCTAGCCACTCAGAGGCTGAGGTGGGAGCCAAGGATCTTGAGGCTGTCGTGAGCTGTGATCATGCCACTGCACTGTAGCCTGGGTAACAGAGAGAAAAACCCTGTCTCTAAAAAAGTTTTTTAAAATAAAAAACTAACATAATACCACAAAAGATAGGAAGAGGTTGGCATTAAAATATTCTAAGTTCATTATATTATTTGAGAAAAATGTGATTTTAATATGTTTAAATATTATCGGTTCCTTCTCTATCAAGAGGAATAAGTATTGAACTCAACTTGATTTCTTTCTTTCTTTTTTCTTTTTTTGAGGCAGAGTTTTGCTCTTGTTGCCCAGGCTGGAGTGCAATGTTGTGATATCTACTCAC